TTCTCTTCTCTTCTCTTCTCTTCTCTTCTCTTCTCTTCTCTTCTCTTCTCTTCTCTTCTCTTCTCTTCTCTTCTCTTCTCTTCTCTTCTCTTCCAGCTGCCCCTGATGCTTCTGCAGTACAGACACTCTCTGAGCAGGTTCAAACTCAGAGTGCTAACAACAGCCAGCCCTCAGTTGTTAGGGTCAGCGAGGAGCATCCCAGCTCCCTCACTTTGCCAGAGACAGCATGATATTTTCCCCCTCCTTTTCTTCAGCTCTTATCTTCCTTCAGACACTCCTCTTGGCTAAATCGCTTTAACAAAAAAAAACATAGCATGCACATTGGCAGCTGCTCTAAAAGTCCCCTTCTTGCATTTATCACACATGCATCAGCCTGTTCGATATTTAGTGCATCTGGTTTTCCTTGAATGAAATTTAAGAGAAGCTCAACCAGAAAAGAGCATCTCTCATTCAGCTGCTTACCTCATCACTTTTGAACTAGTCAGAAATTAGAGTACCGGTACAATCTAATCTAACTTCTCCAAACTTTGCTTGATAGTGAGTTTTAATGGAGCTGAATAGTAGGTATTGTGCTGCTTCTGTGAATGTAACTACTCTGGCTCTATAGGGCAGCTTGGCTTTTGTAGTCCATACTGTATGTTCTTGTGTACTTATGTCCCTAAATGTCCCAATATTTTTTTGCTTCATGTTGATGAAAATGTGGATTTCAAGACAAAACGGATTTGATCAGAAATTCTGAAGACAGGATATTGCTATTACAAAATCATTGTAAACTGTAATGAACGTACCACGCCTCGTATCTATTGTTTGTGCTCTGTGTTTGTCCCCGTCCCTCTCTGTCTGTTTGCTTCTCCAAAGTGGTTTTAAATAAAGCAAATCAAGCACGCACTCTTTTTCTAGTGTATATGGACGATCTGCACGGCACTCCTGGGTTTAATTATTTGAACGATTAAGTGTTCTTATTCTTACAAATGTTCTTTGGTGCGTTTCCTCAAAGATGGTGCTTTCTTAGGTAAGAATAATGGCAAATAACCACAGACAGCTGTCACTTCCTGTTCCTCTAGGTGCTATATCATGTAACAGTACATTAACTATTTATTGTAAAAATCAGAAAAAAGAAAAAACAACACAATCAGCAGTCACTGAGTTGCCAGGTGATCATTTATTAAAATAAGACCTGCATTTGGGCACATGATGACTCTGCTGTGGTCAAAGCATCCAGAGTTTTATACTCTCTAGTGTCAACCAAAAAATGTTGGTCCAATATGCACCGGAGTAAATATTCTGTTATTGGCTATAAACTGAGTGACCATATGTCTTGAAGTGGGGCTGAAGGGAAACAAAAGAGTGAAAACATATATGCTTGTGCTAAAAAAAACACACCACAGTACACGGTTTACAAAAGAGGAGCACTAACACACAAGCAAACATGCAAATTGCCGCCTCTCTCCGGGGAATATAACCAGCTGACACAACGCCAAGTTTTTAAGCAGTAAAATCTGACAAACCAAATGACCCTGTAAGTAAAGAAAATAAAACGAATCCTGTGTTGCTGAATGTAAGACAGCAAATATGTTACAGTTTTTCTCAAATGCTAAAACACATGTCACAAACGTTACCACCAGGTCCCCCAATGTCCAAACACAACACCCTTCTCTAAAGCTACATAAACACAACCACACCTTCCCACTGCAAAACTCAAACTCCCACACCAAGAGAGCAGCTCGAAGCTGTCAAAACTGT